ATTTAATAATGTTGATATCAGTTTTATTAGTTACAGCAACAAATGGAAAACAACTTATGTGTCCATCAGGAGGAGACTGATTAATTATGGCACACCATATGTACACCATTATCCAAGTACATTAAAAAAACTCTCACATTGTATTTTTCTAGTACATCTATGTAAGAAAAAGCCCAGACTATATTTTAAAATAATATATACAACATTTTAAAATTGTGGTTACTTCCAAGGAGAGCTGAATTTTGGAAGATGAAGTAAGGATTGGACTTACTGATTTATCTATATTTTTAGAATTTCTTTGCCATCAAGAATATGTACACTATTTTGTAATTAGTATATTTAAGAAAGGCTAACAATAAAAAAAGTAGCTGTGTGTTACTCGGATGAAGTAACTGCTAATGAATGTAATGGAAGAAGCTTGAAATCTGAATGACTTAACAGTACAAAAGTTTACTTCTCATACACATAAGGCCTGATGGGTTGGCAGGATCTTTCCTGTCTGGTGACCCAGGATAGAGTCTGCTTACACGGTGTGGATCAACTCTCAACACAGGATCTCCTTGATTCTGCTGAATGGGGCAGAAAGCACAGAAGTGGCATAATGACTCTCAAATGCCTTGGTGTGCAGATGACAACCATTGTTTCTGTTCATATTTCAGTGGCAAGGGTAGTCACAAAACCTTTTCTAATACAAGTGCATTTGACAATATAGTATATCCCATGAGCCCAGGAAGAAGAGCAAGACACGATGTGGAAGAGCACTTACAGTCTCTCTATAAACAGTTACAGAGTAGGTCATCAGTAGAGTACAACACTTAGAATTTGTATGACAAAAGCCCTCTTCATTCTTGGAGAAGTTTCCCAGAAGGCCAAAATTGCCTTGCAATACTCCAAATCTTTCTAAGTGCCTACTATGTGACAGGTGTTCAAATACAGGATCACACCATTTTTCTAAAGGACACTGGAAAACTCAGTAGGAAGGCATCATCCTTCTTCACTCTATAGCACCTTCCTGCCCTGACCTTTTCAATAACCTCTACAGTCTCAATACACTGAGAATTTTCTTCTTCCTTTTGCTGCATGGTCAAAATCACTTTTGAGTTTCTGCTATACACCACTTGATGAACATGACTGAACACTTGTACATGTGTCTTTGGGCACACTGAAAACGAGAATTTTTCCCGGCAGCAGATACAGACAAGAGTCAGGAAAATGATGGCCAGTTAGTTTTTTCTTTTCTTATCAAAGCTGGCATGTCTGCTGGGGAGATATTTTCCACCTTGGTGATAGACTGAATAAATTGCTCCATGAAGATACCCCTACCCTTATCCCTAAAACCTGTGAATTTGTTTTTACATTTTGTAGATGTAGTGAGGTTATGAAAACAACTTTAAAATAAGGGGATTATACTGCCTTATCAGAGTGAGCCCAATTTAATGACATGAGTCCTTATAAGCAGAGAACTTTCTCTGGCTGGATGCAGCAGAGTTGGGGGGGGCAGTTAGAGAGATTCCAGAAGTGAAAAGGATACAATGTTTTATTGCTGACTCCAAGTAGATGGGCTCAGGACTGGAGAGAGGCCTGGAGAAACGCTGTCACCTCCAGCTGACAGTCAGCAAAACAAAACAAAACAAAACCCAAAAGAAAGAAAACAGGGCCTCAGTATTATTACCACAAAGAACTGGACCTGCCAACAACCTGAATGTTCTTGAAAGGAGATTCTTCCCAGAAATCATGATGAGAGGCCTGCCTCTCTGAAAGCTTGACTCGGGGCTGCAAAAATCCAAGCACAGAATCTTGCAAAGCCTTCCCAGCCTTCATACCTACAGAAATATAGATAATAACTACTGAGATAAAAAACATGTGCTGTTGTAAACCAGTAAATTTGTGGTAATTTGTTACAGCAGCCATAGAAAACTACTATAACTTCCTGAAAAACTACAGGGTCTGTTAACATTCAATCTGTGTTGATGGTTGCTACACAGTGATTTCCCATCCTTTCTCATCTACCCTGTAGGAGGGAGGCTTTGGTTTTTGACCACACAGTTAAGCTCACTCATCAGTGTGTGGATTTAGTGGCCAGTCTCAAACAATTCATCAGCTTTAATTCTCCTTTATTTATAATTTTATCTTCTTCCTACTACCTCCTCTCTAACTTCATGAATATATATTTTCTCCAGGATATTATAGCCACTATATTCTGTGTGTCAGATTAGAGTCTACCTATCAGAAGATTTGGTTAAAACAAAACAAAACAAAACAGACTTCTGTGAATGTGGTGGAGGTATCCAGGGTGGGGGGTGGAAGTGAGGAGGTGTCTAAACCTGTCAGAATTACACAGAAGGGCAATTGCTGTCAGAGGGGGGCCAGGGGGAGGGATGAGAGCTGCTGGGAGTTGCAATGCTCTAAGTCAGGGGAGGGCGGGGGATAGTGGCTCTCTGTGCCACCAGGAGCAGGGGCAGCCTCCAGAGCAGGACACACAGGAGAGCTGGCCAACGGTCCAGGTCCCAGTTTGGTCATGAGGGCTACTGGGAAGGTCCCAGGGGAGGGAGCTATCATGCAGGGAAGTGCCAGGACTGCACACAAGTGCTGGAACCAGGGCAGCGCCAGCTCTCAAGGGACCCTGGGGCGAGGGGCGGGAGGATCCTAGGAAAATGAACCCCATGGACAATCCCCAACTTGTCCTTGATTTTCATTTGCACCTTCCTTCTTTAGGCCTGCTTTTAGTACTTCAGCCACAGGGTCCTTCTTTCATTGCCTGAGAGCCATCATGGAATAGTGAGAAGAGAAAGGAATTAAGAGACATGAGTTTGATGTCATGCTGGGAGGAGTGAAACAGTGTGGGCTCCAGAGGAATTCAGGCCAGGAATTCTCAGTCCTGTCTTTTCTGAAACATGTGAAGTCATGAAAATTTCAGAGATATGTGTGCCTCAGGTTTCTCATCTGCAAAATAGGCTTGATGTAGTCAGCTTGCTCTCTGGCTCAATGAAACCTTGTGAAGTCAAACTGTTGGAATGTTAAGTAATTTATGTAAGGTACCTGGTACAGTGAATGGCTTTTTTGGATCTTTGATAATTAGTAGTTATTACTGTTAAAATTCTGACATCAAATACTACCAAGTTCCTATCTTAGAATTTTAAAATATAGTTTTATCCTGGAGATGTCAGGAATATCCATAGCAATACATAGCTCTAGTACATAGCACACCAAATCAGCCAAAATACTTATTACCAAGTAAAAGTAAGTTACCTGCTAAGGAACATTTTGAGGATTTTTATTGTGAGTTGGGATAATCTTCCCCAGCTGGATGCATAGAACATTCATAGAAAATGTGTCAAGGACTGCCTGGTTCACTCCCATTAAAACATCTATCTCTTGCTTTGAGTTTGCCAGTTTACACTCAAGATAACCTAATAACCCTATTAACAGAGTGAGCTCTCTTTGGCAGTGCAAGTCAAAGATTGCCAGCCAAGTGGCTTCTGAGCATCACAGGTTAAGGCATTATTAACTTCTCTTATTTCTCAGAGACTCCCTGGAGACAATGTACATAAAATACCTAGTTTGTGCACTGTGTTCACCTGTACTAAGACAAGAGCACAGGGCACCTTTCATTTCTGCCCCATTTCTGGTTAATTCATGGTCTTAAAAAGTAATTGTTAGAAGTAGCTTTCCATTCCAGACTTTATTTTTTTTAAGATTTTATTTATTTGAGAGAGTGAGGGAGAGAGACCGAGCAAGAGCAGAGGGTAGAGGAGCAAAGGAAGAGGGAGAAGCAGGCTCCCCGCTGAGCAGGGAACCCCATGTGGGGACTGATCCCAGGATCCTGGGATCATGACTTGAGCCACGAAGGCAGACACTTAACTGACTGAGCCAGCCAGGTTGCCCCCATTCCAGGCTTTAGCCTCTTAACTCTGGATACAGCTTCTGAGGGTCTGGTCCCTGCACACGACTCCCACAGCCT